CTGCGATATTGTGTTCAGAAGGCCAGAACCGTGTTTTGTGAGTTCAATGTGACCTTCACCATCGAGCTATAATATTCACACAGAGGGAGAGAAGGACAGACGACCTAAAAAACATAATGGGCCATGACATGGTGCTGAAATGTTTTTCCAAAATCATGTTTTGTGGGTGAAATTCTTTCAAAAAGTGAGACATGAAATTCCCTTTATGAAGAAATAAGTTTGCATTTATTGGACAAACCAAACATAGGCAAACTCACACACAGTGTAAAGATGGAACATGTCATGGGGTGAAAAATAAATGAAGGGTTTCATTCCAAAATGTCATACATCCATGTGGAAACAGTATCTGAAATACAATATCTATTATATACACGCAGTCGACAGTTTATTAGGAACACTTAGCTAAAACTAATACAACAGTCTGCAATAAATTCTCCCTTGACGAAGGTTATAATGTTAAGTTTTTGAAACTGTGTTGAAGAGGTGCTGATTCAGCTGTATGATTATGATATGATATGTATCATTTAGTTTGTGGTGCTGTTGAAAAGAGGAGTTTCTGTGATTTACCCTAAAATCACACAAACACTTGTCAACATAGCACAATACAATTCAGCAGTTAAAATGAGTCAACACCTCTTTAACAGTTTCAACAAACACTGAGCATTTTAACCTTCATGAAGGATGATTTATTGCAGGACTGTTGGATTACTCTGCATTAGTTTCAGCCAGGTGCATCAATAAACTGTATAAGTGACTGTACTTGTGCATATAATTTCCCTACTGGAGCTTTGTTTCCACATGGTGTACACTATATATCATCTTGGAACACAGCTCTTCAAATATATCTATTTATTTATATACTTTATACATTCTCTTTTTACTGTACATTTAAGTCTCATGCTTTGCTTTGAAACTGCTTTCAGCATTTATCCTCAATCACATGACAGAAGACAAAAAAAAAACAGCATACAGTATTCAGGATCAATGCTGCATAGTTTCAACTTTGGAATATCAAACATAATGTCTTTGTAAACCAACAGTGTAACCGTATGTATGGGAAATGGAAAATGTATGAAACCTGTCACTTGTCAAAACATGTCTAAAAATACACATACTTATACTTACTTATCTTAGATGCAAGAATGCTTCACTTATTTGAAACATTTTGATGATGCATTTTATGGAAGATACTGTATGTCATTTCTGTCTATCATGAGCAGGCAATTTGAGGCATTGGACAAAAGAAATGAAGGTAAAAGTGTAGCAGTACATATCACCACGTACATTTCCTTAAAAGCAGTGGAATTAAACCGTTTGGAGAATGTATTACAGGAGAAAGTTCACAAATGTGAACAACAAAAAGCCATAAAAAGCTGCATGATGTTGTTTGACTGCTAAGGACAGTTTCAGGACAAATCGCAAACAAAAACTCAGACACAAAACAAAACAAAAAACAAAAAACAAAACAGAAGCAATAAATAACACAAGAATAAAACAAAGAGAAATTTTTGGAAATGTTGCACGTACAGATAATTTTCAACATAATTCCATCATACTCCTTATGACAGAAGACATGTCCAAAAAAAAAAAAAAAAAAAAAAAAAAAAAAGCCAAACAAATGTACTGACTCAGTGCAACCTTACAACAGGCTTTAAGGATGACATATTCTGTTTAACCCAACTGAGCTACTAAACTGTTGACATTAAGAACACTTAATATAATGGTTCATGAGGATAGCGGCACGTGATTCCCTTGTAGTAACCTCCATTAAGGCAATTGCAGAAAACATGAAGAGAATTTGTACATAGCCTATTGCATGTGGCAGAGAAAGGAAGGCCAGGGAAAGTGAAGTGAACGGGGAGAGAAGATAGTTTGTTTCAGCCATTTTGACCAGTGGATGATATTATAAAATTGAAAGTGTTGCTTAGTGTCCGTTGTTAGTTTCCCACCAAGACTACATCCAGTATAAGCCAGCACCTGACAGCACCAACAACAAATGTTTCTGTATGTAAACACAGCTTTAGGATTCAAAAATTAACCTGGAGCAATACATGGTCTCACTGGGCAGCGAGGGCAGGCTGATCATTTTTCCAGGACATTTTCCATGACATAAGGCTGGTGAGTCAGATGATGATCACTCTCTAGACTAGCAAGTTCCTCTCTGTGGAAGTCGCCTTTACATGCGTGTTAAGCTGTGGCTCTGTAATTAGAGTACAAACCATAGGACTAACCTGATCCCTCTCTCTTTTGAATCACATCGACCTTTCTATTAACGCAACAATTACAGTCGTGCAGAAAAACGTGATGCCGACGTTAGCTTCTGATTTGGCAGTTAAGGGGAAAGTTATGGAAAACTTAAATGGTAATATTAACAACAATAAAAAAAATTATATTAACAATACAATATAGACACTGTTAGAAGAAGAAGCCGTTCTATTCTGATCCACTGTTGCTGTGAAGGGGACTTAGACATTCAAGTTAAAGCAGTTTAAAAGCAGATTTGGGAAACTGTTTTATGAAAACTAGAAAACCAGACAACAGGCCAATTCTTTCTTAAAAACCAACACATTTCCACTTTATTCTACTTGTGAAAACACAAGAAATTGTGATTTCACAACTTTTTCACTATCCAGACCACAAACCAAGTTTAGATTTTAGATTTACTGAGAGATTTTAAAGATTGTTTAAAATACAGTTTCACATTTGTGAAACTTTTATTCTGTTTGCGACCAGGTATTTGATCTGGGATGGAGTACACAAAGAAAATCTTTAGGTTTTCGATATACAAATAAAAAGTTTCACAAACCTGAAAGTGGATATTTAAACAGTTTTTAGGCGATAAGTAGGATGTTTAAGGCCCCTTCACAACATTCAGTAGTATAAAGTAGTGTTACTTCCCCGTCACTGCCAAATTGGAATTAAACTTAAAAGTTAAAGTTTCTCTCTGATACTCAGTTTCACACATTACAGACTCAGAGGTTAAGCCACAATAAATATTAATAATTAGAGTTAGAATTAGAAAAGATGCACAAACACACACAGCTCCCATTCATTAAAGGTTAATACCAGTTTATTTCAACTTGGTCTAATTCCCATAAATGTGACTTTTGTAGCTCATGGCTAATACTGACTTTGCACTCCATTGTTCAGATACGGGGAAACAGTGTATATCGGGGCAACCAGCACAAGCATCCTACAGCTTTCCAAACAAACATGTTTTCACATGAATCATTTTAAACATTTGTCTCTCAGTCTGACCCAAAGTAAACACAGCTGCTAGTAAGTCATTAAACACAGCTGCTGGTAACAGTCATTATTGGCCAACTTATCACATCCAGGGCAACTTGCAGGCTGACCTAACCACCCTGCATATTCAGCCGCACTCGCAAGTTTTTTTTTTTTTACGTGTGAGAGGTTGACTTTCACTGCTGTTATACTGTCTTCTAAGGAAACTCATAAAACTAAATGCAATAAAGAATTGTGCTGAGGAGGATTATGAGGACGAGTCATTTCCCTGCGGTGGTCGACTGCATTTATCCAAACCAGAGTAAACAGACAATGAGCTGAAACAAACTGGCAGGATCATCCAGAAAAACAACCCTCTGCTGCAGAATCAAGACTTCGAAAAAATGCATATCTCCACCGATGATAGGAATTCCAGCAGTGTGACTACAAGGAATGGTTTTGCAGCACTTATCAACATTGTCCTCCTGAAGACTTATTTCATCTTCCCAAAACTGACAGAAGATAGAGGCCGACTGGTCAAACGCTCAGCTGCCCAGATATGAAATTAAACAACACAACATGTAATATGCTGTGTGAGGGTTTACAACATGTGTCTCCAACAGCAAACACTAGCTTTTGGTTATATTCCTGGATCCACTGTAAAGAAATATTCATAAATAGAAAGATTAGGTCACCCAGGAAGTGCCCCTCCATGTAGATCCATATAGGTTCCCCATAATGGATGATCCCAGCATCTACATTCTGTGTATACATTTAGACTCGGAGCCTGGTTGTCCCAATATAAACGCTGTTTGGCCTCAGTCCCCTGAAGGTCATCCATGATGAGGTGACAAGTGCAAAGTTAACATGACCCATAGACCCACAATAACCAAACCGCATTTATGAGAAATACACCAAGTTGAAATAAGTTGGAGTTATCCTTTAAGTACCATCTCTCAGTATCAATGCGCAACATACAGACACTGTTCAAATCACAAACAAATCAAGCTAGCAAGCCTATCATCCTCACCAAATACAAGTGCAAGTTAGTTAGAAATGTTGGCGGACCGGAAAACAAACAGTCAGTCAAAAGAAGGAGTGCTATGGATGGTTGTCAATTTTTTTTAAATCACTTCTTCCAAGGGAAGACTTGCTAGCTACAGCTGCTACTTACAGCTTCTGCCAGGATTGCTTGAGTGAGTAGGAAGAGACAGAGTTTGGTGACTTTACTGGACAATTATTTCTTCGCAAGATGGTCATACTGTACAGATGTCATTTATACTGAGGTTGAGATCCACAAACAAGCAGAGTATGATCCCCTGCAGATGCAGTGCGGCCGACCCAACAGCATTCTGTGCATTTACATTTTGGAATACTGCGTCAACATACTGCGTTTTTCCGTATCCAGACGGGATATTCATTATAATGCCAGTTTTTAAGACAGTCAAATTCATAACTCAGTCCTTATTTGCAGTTTGTAAAAACTTCCAAATGATAATGATTTTTTCTTAAATTACTATTTATGATGAGAAGGACTGACCAAAATCAGGATAAACACAGCCTAATGATAACCCCTGTAGTGTGTGATTGGCTATAGCAACAGTTTAAAAAGTGATCACAGAGATTGTTGGATGTGACAAAAATTTGTCTTCTTGACTTTGCTGCCACTTATTAGGCTTAAAACATGGTTTTCCAAGAGCTCGGATACTGTTTTTCAAAAAGCTACGCTGTTGGATAAAAACAGTGTGGACAAAAAGCAGAAAGAGACAAAAAGATGCATTTTAAAATTAAGCCAGTTTAGTGTGGACATACTCCAAGAGTAAGAAGAAGGATAAGCCATTTCCTTTGTTGCTGAACGGCAACATTCTTAATTTACTCACTCTGAATTTTTCACTGTTCATAATTAGAGACAAAAGAATAAATCTGGACAAGGATCTGTCTGAAACCATTTCAGCCGAAATGAGAGAAGAGAAAAATGATCTACACTATGGAGTCTCCAAAGAGTCAGTCGTCACTGTGAGCATGCTCTCAATTATTACACGAACCACACAAACATTCAGACAAAATAATAACCCTATTTACAGCAGCTGATTTGGAGTGGATCACTTACAGAGTGTATCAAATCAAAGAAAATATTCAGCCAACATATCAAAGTACAAAGAGCCAATCTGTGGCTACACCAATCAAATTTTATGTCATAGCTCACTACAGAACATGAGGGTGTCCCTGCCTTTTCTTACTGTTTGGAGCGGAGGTGACAGCAGTAGTGCAGATGGGGAAATCAATCAGAAGGAACATACAGGTACCAGAGTCCTTGGTTATTTTACCTGGGTGTCGTCAGTAGCCTTGCGTATTGTGTATGGCTTGGAGATGCTGCTTTATGCACATACAAGTCAAGGATCCAGGAGTTTTTGAATGACCATGTGCCTTTCTGTTGATCAGTGGCTCCATTTCCTAATAAAACACGGAGCTTTTATAGTTCTTCATAATCACCGTCATCTCTTTTGATCAAACCTGCTCCTCCGCCCAGAAAGTCCTCCAGTTCATCCACATCTGTTTTCTTGGTCCGGGATTTCTTTTTCTTTTTCTCTTTGTCGTCTCCTTCAGCAACTTCGTCTTTTTCCTTTTTCTTGTGTTTGTGTTTCTTCTTACTTTTGTCATCCTCCTGACAGCGGAAGGACAGACGTTATTACTAACCTTTAAACACATTACTACATATAGTATGTAATATGATGAAGAACAACAACTACTACTTTACCTCTTTGCTTTTCTTCTTCTTTTTCTTCTTCTCTTTAGAGGAGTGTTTGCTTTCTTTCTCTGAAAGAGGAGCAGATACATACAGTAACCCTTGTGATGTATAACTGAAGAGGTCAATAGTGGATTTAGTTAAATATGTTAAAGTCTAGTCTTTTTATGAGTCAAAAAATTAAAACAAACAAAAAAGAACCGTTCAGAGGAAAAAAAACGGACTTTTCAACCATTTGATGAAAACAATAAAAGAGCAATTTTATACCTTTTTTTTTTTTTTTGCTTCAAAACCCCAATGATTCAAAACAAACTAGAATAACCACCTCATGGCTGTATCCCTCCACCAACCAGTCAAGTTGCAGGAAATATTTGAATTGAATAATGGCCAGAAGTGTTTTTGCAGAAAACGATGATGTTACAGTGAAGTTGTCCTTCTACCATTTGGATATAAAATATCATCACTTCATTTTATCCTTATAGACATTTGCATTTCTGAGATATCACATTCACGAGAATGGGATGGACAACCCGAAAACAATATGCCTCTGGCTCTGACTGTCGCCGGTGCAGAGGCATAAATATATTCCAAAAAATGCACTAAACACCCAGGCATCACAAATGTAGTCGGTAACTATATATGCAACGATTGTTGTATTTCTTCTTCTTTTTTTTTTTTGGTCTACAGAGAATTGTTCTGACTTTTTTTTGGGGGGGAAGGCTGCAAGCACAACATATGAAAAAAAAAAAAACATTCACATATTACAACCCTTATCATCTACAACACTGAATCAATTCACAAATTATAAACATTATGTTGATGGAATAAAAAAGGTAGAACTCAAACAAAAGTGATGCAGGTACAGCTTTCACACACTAGAGTTATCTACTGTAGAGTTCATCTTCATAGAAGCTAAGTGTTGTTTATATATTTATGTTGTTTTTTAGCTTCATATTTTATGAATATTTTGTCATCATCACCTGGATTGAATTGGAGCATTGAACGAGCTGATCAACCACTACTTTACTTGCAGCCAACTCTGATCAGATGAAGGAAATAACTCAGTCCATATCCTACTTTATTTCAGAAGATCTGCAGCTGTACAGCGTGGCAGATAATGATGGATTCACCTGGTGCTAGCGCTGCGACAGATAAGCTATTCCCCACTGGTAAAGACAGAACATAATTAACAGCACAGTGCGCTACCCAGGCGGAACCAACAACTTTGTTATCTGCACAAGTCATTCCTCTAGTGGTCATGGTGAGTACATTATATTTTAATTCATTCGGAGTCAGGAAAAAGAGCAACTTCTTTAAATAACAAGCTGTGTACTGCATCCTTTTTTTTCCTGTCTGATCGGTTACCTGATATACTGCCCACTATTTGTTCAATAAAGAATCAATTCTGAATCGATAATCATGGCACCAAGAATTGGAATCACATCAATTCATGTGTTTCCCTCGTCAGAACAACAGCAACAGCTCCTTTCATGGATACTAGTATGAAATTGCAAAATGTGAATTGAGCCTGAATTGATAATTACAGTTAGACAGACACATCAACAGATACTTCATGACTTACCTTCCTGCTCCTCACTGCTGTCCTTGGCTGTGGGAGCCTCTTCTTGGATGCCGAGGCCAAACAGGTCAGTGTCGTCCTTTTGTTTGAAGGAAATCACAGTGGGCTTCATAGGTTCTGGCACTTTGGCTAACTGCATGTCATCGTCAGAGAGATCAGACAGAAGCTCGTCCCTAACTGGAAATGTATCCTAGAAAGAATGGGGCAGCCAAAAATAAACTTGTCACAAGAAAATAAAGAGAAAAATAAAGGCTTCTGAGATGGCAGTATAACAGAAGTGCAATTACACTGTCTTTACTAATATGAGCCACTATGTCAGTATTCTGCCTGATTTTTATCATGCTGAGCATCTGACTGAATGACTGATTAAATGCCTGATTCAAAACCAACACACAAGTTAACAGTCCAGGCTTTCAGCAGTAAAGAGAGCTGTGAACTCAGTTAATCTCAGAGTAAATCTGCCGTGATGGTGAATGGGTTCCACTTTACCTTTGCTATTTTTGGTGTGTCTGATGCTTCCGACTCAAAGTCGGGGTCATCCATGACAAAAGAGAGCATTTGCTGGGCGACAGGGGCCTCGGGGTCGGTATCAGAGTCCTCAGTTTTGGGTGTGTTTCCCTTCTTCTTGCCTTGTTGCAGGGCTGGCTGTTCAGCTGCTGGAATTAAAGTGAGGGAGATGGGCGCTGTGGTCTGGCTTCTGGGCTCTGGAGCTTTAGACGCCACCTTTGGTTTTGTGATATGAATCACAGGCCTGAAACAGGCAGATAATTAATTACCTTAAATATATTAGTATTTTATTTGATATATACTGTATATTACATTCATTTTTACATTTCTTCTTTATGTATTAACGTTCCTCAATTATGAACTTCTGCTTCAAATATTCTTTTATCAATATAATCTACCGTTTTTCTGCAGCAGTGTACACAAAGTTTCTAAAAATCCCACAGACCACTGGAAGTCAGCAACTGTCATGGTTACATTGGCCTTGATAGTGTGAATATGTAAATCATCTAGTCACGACACAGCACTGTATGTGGGAGATCTACATGAGTCACAGCTCAGGCTATGTCTATACACTGTTCTCAACTTGAGTGTAGTGTAAATTGTGATTGGGAATCTAGATAGTATGGGAACAATCTGGTCACAATGGAAAGAAATCGAAGGAAAGAAAGTTGCCTTCAGATGGAAGTCATGAGTTTGTATTTTTGACATGAGAAGTTGAGAGAACTGTTTGAATGAAGTTGAGATAAAACACTACAGTGCAACTGATAACAAAACAGGATGTAACGATTTTGTGTTTGGTGTATTTCAACATCAACAAGAAAAGAGAAGAAGACTGGGATGGAAATAGCTGCTATCACTTCATAAACAGTATATGTTGCAATTCAGTGTCTAGCCTAATAAACAATTGAGTAATCAGGCACACTGCAGATTACTTGGCATTAGTAAAATAAAATATGGTTAACTGGTAGGGTTACCAATCCAAAATATGCTAAAAGCCAAAATAGGATCTATTCCACCCTTGATATTGGCAGCAGAGTTAACCTGCTTTAAAATGAGGAACGTGGAGCATCCTGTGAAGTTCTACGGTAGCATAGGTTTCATAAATAAGGAGATACTTCATTTTTTGGCTCATTAGCAGCATCATCATCATCATCATCAGCATCGGGACATTGAAAACATTGTGAAGAAACTGAGTCTGTTCTATAGTTAGACAAACAAACAGCAGCTGCCAGAAGCAGCTCAGGCTGACACTGACTGTCCTTTCACCGTTTTATTGGTTGTTTGTAATATTCCTAAAAAATATTGTTCTCAATTCTCGTAATATTATGACTTTATTCCCAAAATTTCTGTTTCCTTTTTTTTCCTCATTGTGGTCCTAATACTGTAATATGTGGCCTCACCTGATTCAGTATGCCACCCAACTCTTGGTCCAGACCAGGCTTTGACTACAGCAATGCCCTTCTGACCAGCCTCCCTTCACACACAGTGAAACCCTTACAGATGAACCAAAGTCTGTCAGAGCAGGGGCATCCCTCTCTACCTTAAAGAATCTCTTGAACACTCATCTCTTACATTTACATTCACTCATTTGGGAGATGCTATATCCAAAACGACTTACAAGTGAGAGCACCTCCTCTACCTCTAAGACCCTACCATGTCTAACTAGCTCTTACTATGAATGCTCACTGTACTTCTTTACCTGATCTCCTTGCACTTAATGCAACCTAATGTGTGTATGCACACAATTGATAATTACACTCAATTGGTAGTTTATTAGGAAAACCCATCTAAAACTAATGCAGTCTAATACAACAGTTCTGCAATAAATCCTCCCATCATGGAGTTTATCATTTTCAGTTCAGTGGTTCTGTTATCTAGCCCACCTTCATTGATGGGGTAGGCAAATTAATAGTAACACTTGATATATAAGACTTACGCTTTCAGCTCAGGTTCACTGTCCAAGTCTTGGTCCTGTGTGATAGTGTGGGCTGCTGGTACTCCTTCCTCCTCGTCGCTAGTTAGAGTGATATCTTTACTGGGGGGCAGGGTCTTAGGTTGGGGAAGGCTGGGCTTAGTGTCATCAGGATCGAGCTCATCCTGGAAGCCAGACACCATGGGGTTTCCTCTGTCTTCGCCATCACTGGAACAGAGAAATAACTTTTACTCATGGAGAGAGGGTCTACTTCTGTGGGCTATTCTGCAATGCAGCTGAAACAAGAAGCTCCATGACATGTACAAATGCATATGTCTAAATTCTCAAAAGTAAATGTAACCTATATATCATGATATATCAAAGAAAAGCAAAAAGTTTGAATTTCCAAAATTCATGCAGACATCTCACCTGTCACTGTCCACAGCTGGAGCAGGTGCAGGTTGAGGCACCTTGGTCTTTGTGGGCAGGCTGTCCTCCAGGAAACTCTTGTCCAGTCCCTCATCTGGCACAAAATCATCCACACTCTGAACCTTAGCGGGACACACTGGTGCAGTAAGGTCCTCTGAGGAGAACAATGAGCCAAAATGTACTTGAGAATAATGAAAAAACTCAACTTCATTCAAATCTACACTGTAATGTTAAAAAACTCCCATCACATTTCCCCATGTTTCAAAACAATGTTAGAAATCAACAAAAAGAAGCTTTGGACAAAAACAGGTGTGAGGTGTTGGGTGAGGTCAGCAAACGGCACTTGAGAGGGTCTACAAAAACCTGGAGGAAGCAGGAACAGAGTCTGTGGCACAACAACACCAGGGAGGTCTGGAGAGGTACGAGGACCATCACTGATGGGTGCTCAAGGCCTTCAGCTGTGTGTCATACTCCAGTGCCTCTTTAACCTCAGTTTATATCTGGATAGGGTTCCTGTGTCCATTGGTTCCTCTACCGAAGATGGCCCTCTCCAGTGTTGTCCTCACACAGGACAGGCCAGGAGGCGCAGTCAGAATCACTGCTTTTTGATGTGTCCTGCATCTTTAACACTGTTCAGCCTGCCCTCCTGCTGGGGAAGAAGATGACTGCCATGCAGGTTGACGCTCCTCTGGTGTCCTGGATCATGGACTATTTCAGAGGACATCATCAGCATCTGTGTCTTCAGAGCTATGTGTCACACACAGTGGTGAGCAGTACTGGAGCTCCACAGGGGACTGTCCTGTCCCCTTTTCTTTTGACCCTGGACACCTCAGACTTCAGGTACGACACCTGGAGTCACCCTCTACACAGTGCTCTGGTTAATCAGAGGAGCACATTGAGCCAGAGACTGAATGACTAAGTGCTCCACTGAATGCAACAGGAAGTCCTTCCTTCCGGTGGCATTCATTCATACAATTTCCCCTCTTTCTGCACATCTCCATCAGTACTGTTGAGCTACTTTGCACATTTTCATTTTTGCACAGTTGTCCATACTGTGATTCTACCTCACACATTACTTTTGGCACATTTTTCTATTCACATGTTTATTTATTATTAGTATTTATAGTAGTTCTTCTTTTTTTAACTTCTCTTTAAAGTTTTTTCTTATTTACTTCCTTTACTACCTGAGCGTAAATCCTCCAATACCAAACCTCTCTCCTGTCTATTAACCTGGACCAGATGTTCAATAAAAAGGTTAAAGAGAGTCCTCCTCCTTTCCCTTCATAAAACTTTAAGATTAAAGAGACTGCCATTAGTTTTCATCATAGCAGTTGGGGATAGGTAGTGTCTTTATATGTTGTATAAATCCTTTACCAAACCAAAACATTTCCATCCAACAAAAAACAAAAGCCTCAGCATCTGTGCCAGGAAAGATTGAACAAATGTCTTCCTTATTAATATGTTCAACAATGTGGAGGGCTCACTGTATGTTGTTGCGTATAAAACCTATTGATTGTGATGTATCAAGATGAATCAATTGTCGTGCGTCATCTTAAACCTTCGGTCATCAAACAGCCATTTTTTCTAAAAGATACCAAAGACCGTTTGAAGCAGTTAAATGAATATCAGATAGAAATTAAACATTTTGTTCTCCACTCTGGATGTGGAATTAGAGGCCATTGCCAGAGCTTTGTCAAATCTTTATCAGATCCCCGAAAGTCATACCTAAATGATCTGCTCAATTTTGTTTTAACCACAGATTAGGTCAGCTTTGAAGATCGATTTTATTTGCAAGCTATGGGAGCAGCAGTTGCTCCAACTAATGTAGTTGTGGGTGACTGGGAATCAGACTTCTTACACAGCAATACTAATCCCTTTCAATCTCAAGCGACTTCTCCTATTGACTGATGGTACTAAATAATGGTATTTGTCAATTATTGCAACAGCAGTTTCCTTAAATTCTTTACTGATTTGCTGGTCAACTATTTTTTTGCTTAAGTACAGTAAAGAGGACACTCACCTGGTGCAGACACAGGAGCATCAGCAGCAGGTGATGAACCAAACCAGCGGGAGATGAAGCTGCGTTTCTGGGGGGCCAACACTCCAGATGCAGCTGAGGACTGTTGGTGCTCAGGAGACTGGGCTGATGGCTTTGACTCAACAGTAGGTGAAGCTGCCCCGCTAACCGCTGCTGAGGGAGGTGGAGGGGAGGACGCAGACACAGATGGTGACTGCGGGAGCATCTGAGAGAGGATGGGAGGCTGAGGGGTGCTGGGGCTGGAGCTGCCTGTGGAGGCCCCACTGGGAGGGACGATGGGGGACTGAGAGCCTGAGGAGGAACCGTTAGCTGGACCAGGAGAGCCATAGCTCTTACTGCGAGACTCCAAGTTCTCCAGGAAACTGCAGAAATCACAGGAGATAAAATGAATAAACTGTGATTCACTTGCAAAAATATCTGAGGCTAGGATTACAGTGCACCATTGTAGAGTATAAATGCCACCCACTCTTGATTCAGTAAAATTCAACATGAACATTTCAACTGTCTTGACAATGTTTAGACATTGTCCTGTGATAGGTACTTTTTTGATTGATAAACTAACAGCTTTATTCTGGGATACAAAGAAATACACAGCGTGTGTAAAACAACTTCACAAATCTGTTTGTCAAGAGGAACACATTGTCGTTGATGGAAATTTGCAGTAACTTGTGATGGAAGTTGTCTTTGTTGGTTAAATTACTTTACAGATTCAGTGCTGACTGCCCTGACAAATGTCGATCTGTACTTTTTGGCTGGACCACAACAATGTTTACAGATGCAGTGTTGCCAACTTGGTGCATTTGTTGCTAGATTTAGAGACTTTTTTTCTAACAAGACTGAGTATAAAGCTAGTATATGACTGGACTGTGAATGAACCAACTGTCTGCTTCGGGCTACACCTTGTTACGGGCAGTCACCCAGCCGCTCAGAAGCTGCTGGGAAGTCGAGTGGCGCTTCCAGTTCACTGAGCCTCGCCTTCATTACGGTAAATAAACTACATCCATTACATGTATCATTATTAAAGGTGGCAGAGGAATAACTAAACATAACACACCAGGGTTTCCCACACATTCACTTTACTTGGGCAGGCTGCTCAGGTATATAACAGCAGCACAAGTATATTGCTGACTCATTTTGACATTTTATTTGTATGTTTTTTAATCTGTCAAAACGACACCATCCGTGATTGATTAAATATTCTCTACTCACTCCCCTGTACTGTTTCGTTCTGCTAACGCACAAAGACCAACAGAAAGAAAGAGGGAAAGAAGGAGACGCATGGTATTACATTAGAAGACGCAGACACGGTGGATATTGAACGGACAACTCAGTTCTCAGGCCCAGTCGGTGGTTACAGCGGTTCCACAACAGTTTTCAAATACATCCTCACTTTCACACACTGACCATATACAGTCCAGGCATATACCAGGTTTTGATCTTGAGTTTTGTTTAAAATACTGGCATTACCTCTATCCACTATCACCTGTTTGAATTGTTTCTTCTGACAACTTACAGCCAAACTTAGCTGAGAGTCAAGAGCAATAACTGCACCAATGCATTCTTGAGGAAGAAGCTGAAGGAAATGTATCCATTAGCAGCCAGTCTATAGTGTGTTCCCAGCAGTAACGAGCCCAAGTGGACATATGCAAAGGTGTTCACCAGAAATTAACACAATTCATAATCTGGTGTGCACTGCAAATTTGTGGAAGGTAAAGCTTTTGCTCATGTCACTCTAGGGGCCCTGTGTAGCAGTATGCATGCAGAGAAGAAAAAAAACATAGGTACATCTCATAGTTTTGATCTTCAGTCTCCTGCTGGACACAGAGCTCCTCCAGGGTGGCATCCATGTCGAGCTGGTTGGTCTCCAGCTGCCTCAGGAGGGTCTCTCTCTGCATACAAAGTAGTAATCACAAAAGCACATTAATTTAAACCAGCACAGCCTGGAAAAACTAGGTAAAAACAAAATGTTTATGAAGCAAATGAAAAAAAACCTGTAGCTGCAAGAAGGGGATGTTGAAGAATCTGTGCAGATATTTCAAGCCAAACCCATTCTTCATAGAAGACTCAGCATAGTGGATGTAAGATGATCCCATTGGTCTGTAAAACACAAGTAACTCGAGTTAAAGCAAGATCAAAGTTGAACTGTTATAAGAGTGATTTCAAGGTTAAAATGGTTGACATGTTGGAGCTGCACTAACTAAGCAGAACAAGCTTTAAAAACGACATCTGACTGACATATTATCACCTTAAGTTGTTACAGGACAAGAAAACTCAGAGCAACACTATTAATTCATTTGGAGTCATGTTTGTGTCCGCCTGATGATGAATAGTTCCTCTCTTTTAAGCTCTGTTTTTGATCTCCACTAAGTCCTGGGGGAATTATCTGGCTCTTTCTCTGCTAAATGTCCCACTGAGGTCACCAGCCTAACTTTGTCTGTTAGGTTTTTGGTGCTGAGCAGGTAGTCTACCGTCGGGTAATCAGAGCCTCTTTTCCTGAAATATCTGCCTACTATGGCTGTAGACAAGATTAATCACAGTAGAGATTACAGCCCAGAAGTCAGTAATGACCTAAAATAAGCTTTAAAAGTACCGTAAAGCTGAGAGGAGCCACACTGATGAGGCAAAACGTAATGACCAGCATGGACCCTCAGACCAGTCTGCAGCTATGAAGCCCCATAGGGAGCAGGGTCTGAAGAATTGTGTTTCTGGGAAACTTTCCTCTAGTAAGTATCATTTTGTGACTATGTTAGCTACAGTTAATTCCATCCCATACCAAAATTGCACCAGCAACCTGATGGCACATCTCGGAAATATGCACCCATATGATCACCAATACAAGTAGTTATGTATCTTGTTGTGGACGTAATGTGCAAAATTAGATATTCAAATGATTCAAGCCTATGTGTTTTTTTGAGGAGTAATCAAATGTCATTTTTGGCCAATTTTTACAGCAGCTACATAACTGCACCAAATCAAGGACCCAAATCTCTTACTCAGATCACAATCTATTACAACATTTCTAACTTTTTATTTATTACAACAACTATAGCGACTGTTTGAGGCCACTGTTTAAGGAGTGGACATTTGTGTGGTCAGGCAGCAGGGACTTTCTGGCCTTTTACAGAGCCAAGCAGGTATCTGGCTATCTATGTTTCTAATCTGGGGAAACAAATTATTAATCTATAATATGATCTGGAACATGCTATTGATTTGTTGTACAAAGAATTAGTATCAGAAAGAATGTTGAGTGGGAACAATCAACCTATTGATTGACCTTATACACTTAACCTATTAATTTAAAGTTCCTCTCCAGACATGTTTTAAACTCTGTAAAAATCCTCTGCTGTGATTAATATTTTGTTTAACATGGTTTTCAAACATAGAAAATGAGAAAAAAGGGAAACTGGGGCTGGAAGCTCATCTACACTTCCTAAATTCTAAATCAATACTAAAGAAATTCTAAATCAGGCCTTTCTGATGAAAGAGCAGTGAGCATCAAGATGGTTAGAGGAGGTGACATCACAGAGACTCAGCCACATGTTCGAGCCTCAGTCAGACCCAGACTCAGATGAGGAGTCTGAGACCAGAATCAGAGACGAGCAGACGGATCAGAGCGGTTAGCGTAGTTAGCATCTTTTATTTGTTTGTGTTGTTTGTTAGCTTGTAACTGTGTTAGTGGTTGTGTTATGCCAACTCTCTCTCTCTCTGTACTGACAAGGTATCAGGTTTTTTTTTTTTTTAGCCCTGCCCCCTGTCCCCACAAGTTGACAGGATTGGTTCCTTAGGTTTGTGACATATGAAACCCTGGCTGTCTGAATCTGTTTTTATGAGACTGTGATTGGTTCACTGCAGTTCAAGGTGGAAACACTCAGTCATGGTGCTGATGATTATTTCGCTCATCATATGTCTTGTATTATAGTAAAAATTTCATTTGGATGTTTACAAGGTTAAAAACTTGATTTAAGTAAGTTGAGAACACCTCAACAAGACTCACAGAATGTCAGCTGCATTTTTTTTTTGAAGATAGGGTTGGAAAAATGTGTTTGCACTTTCTGTCTTTCTGTTATCCTAGATTGTGTTACTCTTCCATCTCTCACACATTAGTTTTTCTTTTCTGCCACCTCTGTCTGTCAATACTTCATCACATAATGCAGTCTTGTTATCTGCAGATGCAGCCTATAGGGAAAACTATGCAGCCTTAATAATATATAGATAATTTTCAAATTCATTGTCCATTTTTACATCAGATTCCACAGCTGTTGCACGTCTGAGAAATGATGTACTTATACAACTTCCACATGAATTATCGGAGTGAGTGTTTTTGTTTCCATTTCTAACATCTGACCATTTAGTTGCATGCTAATATCTACCTGTTCAGTCCAGCAATCAGGTCCCTTATATCATCAGGAAGGATGACACGATGCTCGCCCATGTCCCTGTGGTTACCCAACACACACACCGGCACATGGGTGGGTACTTTGGGCAGTTCCCTCAGGATGTAGTTAAATGTCCTGCAATGGACAAAATCACAACATAGATTTGTGGGTGGGTGAAGAAAACTTACTTCAGTCCTGTCACTGGTTTCGGCCCTTTATCCGTTTGTTTCTCTGCTTACATATACAGTACTTTAATACAGCTGAATTCCCAATAAAGCAGTTCTCATTTACATGTTTTTCAGTTGCTGTTGTTTTGGAACAGAACAAGTATGAAATAGTGGATACTGAATAAAATAAATACTGGAACACAGCGCATTAAGACTACATGTTAACAGGCAGTCAGTTCCAAGTTGCTGCTAAAATCCTAAATATAATACCATGATGTCATCTGACAAAATCACCATAAGCACAAATAACCTGAACAAAGACTGTGCTGTGATTTTCCGATACATTTACTTGTAAAATTATCACTCAGAGAGAAAGTTGGAAGTGACAGAATATTTTTCATTTTGTTTCTCACACAGTGCACAACCTCCGTCTGGGATCCACAACAGTTTTCAAATGCTGTTTTTCCTCAAAAAATGACTGGGTCTTTATTTACCTCAACTTGGAGAAAGTAAAAGACTTTTATTAGAGGCAGGTCTTTATGTCTAACTCCCTCTGTTTGATAGAAATGGTCATAACAGTATTTCAGTATGAAGCCTCTGCTTACAGTCGCTCCCATTTAGTATTGAAAGTCCACCAGCGTTTCAGTGGACACACACCTTTTATTTCTTAACTTTATTGATGTGGTGCGGTAAGCATATTGTCTCCTTTCTGGTTGTTGGTGTTTCTGTTGTTTCTAGCTAATCAGATCTGCGATGACTTCTCTCTCTCTGTCTCCCTCCCTCCCTCTCTGCTGCTCTCTCTGCTTGGTGTCTTATGTCTAGTTATTCCTGTGCCTCCTTTAGGAATAATGATACATGTAATGAAAGTAGTTTATTTGCTGTAATGGAGGCAAGGCTGAGTAAACTGAAAGCACTTCCCCGCTTCCCTGCAGTTCTCAAGCGGCTCGGTAGACTGCCCGTAACAAGAGGTGTAGCCCTTAGTCCGCAGTTGGCATTCATAAACGGTCCAGACATGTACCAAGTTTATACACAGTCTGTTTAGAAAAGTCTCTAAATGTGCTGTAAATGCCCCCCTAATAGAAACAGTTTGTGCCAAATCATTTTGAAAGAGCAACAGCCAATGGGGAAACTCCAACTCAGTCACATGGCCTCCTGCTGTTCAATAGTGGAAGTATGATGATCATACTCATCATAGTTCAGTGATCATTGATCACTGAACTATGATGAGTCATTCAGTCACGGACATCCGCTTCTTTTAACTTTTGGATACAGTTGAAAGGGAATTGGAAACCCTAAAGAGGAAGTTTGACATGAACAAACTGTCTAAGGAAATCTAAGGAAAACAAAATTCATTGTGTTTGATATCATAAAACAAATTTTGAAGTAAATCTTAAGATTAATGATGTAGAAATTGACAGTGCAAGAAAATAAATTAGATAAAAGTCCATGAACTTTGTTTGAAACCTCACGTAACCAATATCAAATCAAAACTGTCCAAATCCACTGCAAGCCTGCACAAAACCAAAGATTTCCTGAATCATAACTTACTTTTCATTCTATGTTGCACACTCATAGTTCCATATATTACAGAATGTGTGTGGGAAAATACATTTCAAAACCAGCACCAATTGCATATTTAGATTACAAAAAAGAGCCATAAGAATTGTTAATAAGGTTGATTATAAATAGCCAACTAATTCATTATTAATTAAATCAAATACATTGAAACTTAAGGACCTTGTAGAATTTAAAACCTTACAAGTGATGTTTAAAGTAACTGTATTAACGAGTTGTTTTCATTGAGGGACAACAGATATCCACTCAGGGGATATAATATGTTGTATGATTTAGTACGATGTGTGACAGTTCAAGGGGTTAAATTATGGAATCTTAGCCCTCAGCCCACACCTTTTTTTTCAGTCAGAAAATATCATTTTTGATATCGACTTAATTTGTGTATACTGAGGTGGTCTTAAGCACTTGCTCAATTGTATGGTAAATCTGTTGACAGGAAATAAAATAAATAGATCCACCACTGGAGGCTCTCAGTTGCACAGCCACATGCAGACTGACTGAAACCTAATCTGTCCATGCATATTGTAGCATTACAGTTCACTGATAAGACAGTGCTAGGACAACAGTTTAGACAGAGGAGTCTTACCACTGCTTAGTAATGTCAAACATCATGATGACTCCATTGCAGTTCTTGTACACATCCAGGAACTCTGCATCCAGGGCGACTTCATCGGACTACAACGCACATATATTCCCATTAAACAACCAGATTAATCACACAAAATATTTAAAATATATATATATTATAGTTTTATTTTGACAACTTATAATTTTGATTATTTACACCCTATAAGACTTCTTTGGTTAATTCCATTACTGACCCACATACTATAAGTCAGCCTTTTTTTCTAAACACATGACAGTCATGTGATAGTCACCTCTTGGGGCTCATTCTCCAGTTTCAAATTGTCTCCACGCCTTTTGCCTTTGCCTGAAAGAAGACAAATCAAAAGTATTACATTTAGACAAGCTGATAAGAAAAGAAAGAAAAAAAGATCACAATCTACAGCTTAGTTTGTTGTTTTACTTTATGATGAGTAAAGTAAGCAGAGCAGTGCATGTGCTTTTCTTATGGAAAAGCATCTTGGAGCTTATATTCAAAACACTTCAAGACACTCAGGCTCAATCTATACACAGCGCAAAAAAAAAAAAAAAAAAAAAAAAAAAAAAAAATGTGACATGTAGCCACACAGCAAACCTGGGAATAGCCAAACCTTGAGAATATTGACAATCAGATAAGAGTAGAACGAGGCAGAGCAAACCCACAGCACACAATCCAGTTTAATTTCTACACACTATAGTGGCGCTCACCTACACCTTCAGGAAGAGGATATTTTTGGCCTGAGATGAGTGCGAGAGAGGTGCAAAGACAACATCAACATTGAGGACAGATAAAACAAACACGTAACCGTGCAACTATTTGATATCATGAAATACTCTTGACTCTCTGAACTTCTCAGAGCAAGGTCAGCCTCAGAAGAGACTGGCATGTGTGACTGCCATGTATCTCAACACTCACCTTTATCAACCACGTCCCAAACCTCTACTTTGACCACATCATCAGTAGCTGAGAGAAACAGAGAGAGTGTTTTCATTATTCATGTTCTTGGGCCACAGAGTAAAAAGAACTGAAATCCAGAGGCTGTTAAGTAACTCTAATATGGACCCAGTAACTAAAAACACTACAAAACGTAGTGGTGGAAGCACTAACACAAATACAGGACACCTACTCTAGAACTCAGTTAGATGAAGCTAAATCCAAATGCAGTCTATTATTTTTTTTTTTTACCTTGATATGGAGCCACTGAAATAAATCACCAAGGCACAAACAGCAAATGTCAAATACAAACCAGAAACAAAACACAAACATAATCAAAGCAGTGGTGATGAGATAAAATAAGCCATCATGTTCAGTGGGTTATAACTTACTTTTGTAATTCCAATGTATACTTGTGGCTTGGATCTCCTGAGTCGGTATGTACTCCTCCACAAACTTCTTGCCCTGCAGGCGATGCCATAAAGTACTCTTTCCAGTGTTCCTATCTCCCCGGATGACTATTTTCACTTGAGTGAGACAGACATTGTAGATTAATTTCAATCAGATAACAGTTTAACGACTTAACTAAAAAGCAACATTTGATAGTTATAGAGGGGACAGACATGTATGACGCCAGGCTGAATTACTTACTATTATACTGAACCCCTTTGGCGAAGCGTCTCTGCAAACTTTGGTTCATCGACTGCATGCCAGCTGGGATATTCTTCTCCCTGAGCTGCCCTGGCTCAGATCCCACCAGCTTCTTCAGCGCTGAAAACATCTCGACGAGGCTTCACTAGCTTGTTCAGAAAGAAGTGGTAGTACAGTGGAACTTCCCTGACAATTCGTCCCACAACAACCGAAGTTAAAGAGTAAAAGTGTATCCTGATGGCTGAGGAATCTAAGGGTCCATGCTTAGAAGAAAATCTGATGCCAAAATACTAAATAGTGACTCTGAATTCAGCCGCTGATCTCTCAAACCTGAATGAATGTTCTTGCTCGCCAGTCAGTGGTGGATGTAACTACCATGTTGTTTTGAGCATCATCTATGAAAAAACAGAGGAATAAAGAAGTTATGGTTGGTAACTGGGTAAATGTGCAGCCAGATCCATTTAATTATGTAAACAATTACCCAATGATCATTGAAAAAGACACAAGGTTATTTATCCTGCTGTTCTGATTTTGAAATAATTTCCAGATACCTCAGACTCTTCGAACCATATGGCTGAAACAATATACCACCTACTCCACCAAAGGATTTTTATTATCGTTATTTATACTGATTTAAGTTTATCATGTTATATTGTAAGCTATCAAACCATTAATAAATTAATTGTTTTATGTCATATTTTCATAAAAAACAGGGTGTCGTACAAAACGACGTAATGGCAATACATGAGAGGCACAATGTGGGGCTACATTTGATGATGTGGCAAGGTGATACTTTTTGCAGTAGATCCATCACCAAACGAATTAGTAACTAGCTCATTTAATCAAGAGTGAAATATTAGTGATATATGAAGGAAGGGCTTATAGGTGTGTATCAGAGCATGTCTCCATGTTCCTGTAAAATCCTAATGAGAGCTGTCAGTGTCCTAGGAAGTGTTACATTATTCAATATCAAGTCTTTGTCTCCAGTTTACATTATCAGAAAAGTGTGTGTCTTTGTTCAGCTAAAGGAGAAACCAGCTAAAATACAACGCCGAATTATGCCATGTTGGAATAATAACAGTGCATTTTCCCTATAACGTTGTCCAGCTAGCATTAGCTGATCAGGCTATTAGCGCCTGTTAAGACAGAGCTTTCTCGAATTTTTGAAGCCATAATGGCTAAAAATGTTAAAGCCAAAATCTCTAAAGGGTATGTCAAGGTCAACAGAGGCTTCAAACAGTGATGAGCCAGCCCGGTTTGTTACCTACCCGGTTTAAAAGGTAACGTTATCCTTTGGCTCTGTTCTAGCTAGCTATCCAGCCGATATTAGCTTAGCTTTTCCCCCTCTATGCTAAATGACATTAAACGGCAGCTAGACTGGATGTCTTCTTCCAGGTGGAATCAGCTAGAAATACTCACGGTTATGTAATGAGATAAGAAACTGTTGTCCCGACATCTTTGTCTCAAAATATCTGTCAGACCTCCATCCCAACAGAGATATAGCAGCGACATTCCTTTGGAAAGAAAAAAGCAGCCACCGTTCCAGCGTCACACCAAAACGTTAAACTTCCGTTAAAACTTTCAAAATAAAGCCTATGTTGTCTCTATATAGCGTGTGTTAAGAAAGTGCTTTTGATAAACCATTTATACAAATGCAGGGATTTTCCAGTGGCATTTTCCCTCGGCATATACGGGGTCAAAGGACCTCAAAATGTATTGAGTATTTCGATTTTCCAGTACTGGGTTATTATTTTTTTCTTTCTTTCTTTTCTGTCTTCTTTCTTTATTGAAAAAAATTCCACATAAACAACAAGACAAATAACCACAATAGCAGCTCAGTTCAAAAACATATAGGTAAAAATAAAATACACACATTGACGAGATAACAATAAAAGTAATAATAACATAAAACAGAAATAGCAGTATATAAAATAAAATAAATAAGATAAAATATGTTAAAAAAAAAAAGAAATGCCAGGGACAATGATAAAAACATAGAAATTGACTTAAATCAAATCATCAAAACGGGAGCACAATTTCATAGTTTTAAAAGCTTTTTTGTTTTTTGACGAAGTTATTGTCTTAATATAGCTCAATTTCTTTGTTGAAAACATGAAAGTGAGGTTCTACTTTAGCAATGTTCAACACACTTATGATATGTGTATTGAGTGGAAATGACATAATATGATTCATCAAAGTCCAAAACAAGCTGATTTATGAAGTCAATAAGTGTTTTTACAGTGATAATTCTGTTGATGCTATGCGCATATTCTTACGTATACGTAAATAAACAAAACTCTACCGACTCGTATATATGTTCAGGGCAGTAAGAAAAAGTAAGAAATGTCCTGGAGATTACAATAATATATAAATCTAATTGCGAACAGGCAGCAGGAAAATCAGATGGTGTTCTTCGGGCTTGCGGCGCCTGGTGGTAGACGTAGTAACGTACAACTGCACGTAGCATCCTCAGCTGTCACTTTTATCACATCACATACAAACGCCTGCTTCTTTTTGTGGATGCATATTATCATCAAATATCGCTATGAGTTCTTGACATCAGAAGGAATACTCTGTTAACCCGAGCGACAAAAGGAGCCATGAGTCTTTGCTGGCGATTAATGCTAAAATCACATTCAGCAGTGTTTGCTGTCCTGAACACACCCCACTGAGTACCCCGATATTGTTCAGGGGAAATAATGGCTGCACAGGAACCGTCTCCACCATCTTCCCTGGAAGGCAACAAACCGGGTTTCCCAAAGAAAATTTTGGCCAACAACCTCGAAGACAAGCATCTGTGCAATTCATGCCAGAAGATACTGAGAAGGCCCCTGCAGGCCCAGTGTGGTCACCGCTTTTGTTCGTTCTGTTTCAACAAAATTGTGAGGTGAGTAGTGTCATGGTTGCTAGCCAGCTAGCTAGGTGTGTATATCCATATGTTAGCAACCATCCTTCAAATATCTCCCAGTTTAACGGATACCTGCTTATTGTCACAGGTAACGCAATATACAACATAAAAATAAAATACGACATAAATAATAAAATACGACATAAAAGGGCAGGTTAGGACATACATATCTATCTTGCAAAGATCTATTTGTAAAATTCGGCTCACACTAATTCACCGATGACCCCTTTATCCCAGTAAAATATCAACTTGTGTAATGGGTTAGCCAGCAGCTGTCTTCGTAGACAAGTTCCGCAAACCTGTGTTGTATGTGACCGGAGCAGGCAGGGTACATTTCCACAAGTTGAACATGACACTGTATTGTGTAAAAGTAACACCAGATCGTCTGCCAATTTCACCAGAAACACCAGCAACAGCAAGTCTTTTTACATTATCTTGCTAAGTTTGATTCTTTGTCGATAAACAAGTCAACATGAAATTGTTTTTTTTTTGTTGTTTATAGAAGTTTGGCATGACTTTTATATTCACGTTAGATGACATCACCAGGAAAGGCTCTATCAATCCATGCACTACATGTACTTATACTTTTTAATATTTCGATATTAGAATGACAGTAATGTGACTGAATTTCTTTTATTTTGCTGTCATTAAACAGATACTAATACGTAAAAAACATTATATTTCGTGTCAAGATTGAGGGCGCAGTGAAAAGATAAGCTTGATAGTGAGATCATTGATTTTTTTCTTCTTACAGTGCACATGTGTGTGATGGACCATAGACCATGTATATGTTATATACCATATAAAAATAATGATTTATTGCTATAGCACTTTTCAATACAAGTAACAAAGTGCTTCATATGACTCAAACTAATCAAAGTGAAATGTAAATGAAATTAAAAAGACATCACACAATACATTTTTTTTTATACAAATGTGTCTTAAGAAGTGAAGAAGATAAAACGGGAAACTGACTGTGAGAGTCTGATCTCCTCTGGTAGGTTGTTCCAAAGTTTAGGGGACCTGACAGCAAAGGCCTAGTCTCCTTTAGTTTTCACCTGGGCAGCAATGAATTACCAGAGGATCTCAGACTAAAAGCCCCGGCTCATAGGGGGATAAAAGCTCACAAATGTAGGGAGGGGCAGCCCAAACCTGACCTTAAAAGTCATTAAAATAATTATTATTCTAAAAATAATTTTTAAATCAATCTTAAAATAAACGGGCAGCCAGTGTAGAGATGCTAGGACCAGAGTGATGTGAACACATTTTTTGGACTGAGTGTAAGTATATATATATATATATATATATATATATGTATATATATGTATGTATGTATGTATGTATGTATGTATATTGTTTAAGTTGTATTTTGGTTTAATAATTCTGGGTGCAACACTCTAAGGGAAATGATTGCTGCTACAGCAAAACTTAATCTTAAAGTCTTAAAGCTGTGAACACACCCACTTACGCAAAAAAAACCCTGTTGTGTTCAGGTGCTTTCTTTTTGCTTTATTTATCATTGAGATCAGTCTACAACTTGACTGGAGCCCATCTGTGCCAAATTGAATTGACTTGACATAGTTTAAAAAGGCACGCAATGCTGTGAGGCCCAACAATTTACATTTCATGTCAGCATGAAAACCAAGCCATGAAATCCAAGGAACTCTCTGTAGACCTCCACAATAAAATAGTGGCGTGGTAAAAATCAGAGCAAGTGCATAAAATCATTTCAGTAGCTTTGAGTCTTCCTAGAATTAGCCATCCAGGCCAAACTGAGTAACTGGCCAAGAAGGGCCTCGTTCAGGGATGTGACCAGGAACCCAACAGTCACTCTTAACAGATCCTCTGAAGTCCAGAGATGGGAGAACCTGCCAGATGGACGACCATCTCAGCAGCTCTCCGTCAATCAGGCATTTATGGAGTTAGACAGAAGTCACTTTCAGGAAAAGGCATATGACAGCCAGTCTGGAGTTTGCAAAACAGCATTTAAAGGACTCTGCTGAGACAAAAATTTCACCTTTTGGTCAGAATTCCAAGCATTATGTCAGGAGAACTCCAGGTGTGCTCATCACCTGGCTAATGCCATCCCTACAGTAAAGCATGGTGGTTGCGGCATCATGCTACGGAGGTGCTTCTCAGTGGCAGGCACAGGTCAGAACTGATGCAAGGATGAATGAGTTCCTTGAAGAGAACCTGCTCCAGAGTTCACGTGACCTGACACTGGGGGTGACGGTTCACCACGCTGGAGTCTATGTGGGACAAGTCTGACTGTCCCAGACTGAAACCCCATAGGCCATTTGTGAGGAGACCTGAAGATGAAAGTTTACAGACCATTTCCATTTAGTCTGACAAAGCTTCTTTGCTTTTTCAAATTAGCAAAGATTTTTAAAAACATGCTTTCACTTTGACATTATGAATTATTGAGTGTAAATTAATGGGCAAAAATTTCATCCATTTATAATTAAAAGGTGCAATAAGTACGTTTTTGCTATAGCTACATAGCATAATCTGCCATTATTTTTCTCAATTAATAGATTTATTGCTTTGAACATAGTGAAAAATTCCCTAGAGCCAAAATGTTCATATTCAAATGATTAGTTTTATTCCACCAACAGTCCAAAACCCAAAGATATTCAGTTATCTAGTTATTCAGTCATTCATTTGAGAAGCTGGAACATAATTGACATTTTGCTTGAAAAATGACTAAATGGATTAATAGAATAGTTAACCTCATTATTTGCTGTTTAATCGATCAATTAATCCATTCATCGTTTCAGCTCTTTGTGTGACAAAATGATCGCAACTCAAGGTCCACTGACCAGCTTTAATGGAGCTTCTCACGGTCTTCATCAGCAAATTGACTTGTGACCAATTTTGGTCCGACATTCACTTGAAGACCATGAGATGTGGATGAAAGCTCAGACGAAACCTTGAGTTGAGATTATATTGTTATACTCAATGATCAAAGGGCCAAGAGTGAACTCAGTGAACTAACAGAAGAAACAGTATTTGGATGATGATGATGATGGTAATATCAAGGATCTATATTGTCTGACACATGCTTGGTATTTTAACCTGGGCACAGCAGGCTGTCTATATTAATGTCAATATGTGTTTTTCTTCCTTCAAGCTCCGGACCACAGAAATGCAGTGCCTGCATCAAAGAAGACTTATTTGAGGAACCCACCTCTATTCTCAAACAAGGTGGTGTAAGTATATTTTTACCTTTCATTGCATGTTTTTCCAGAGATTCGCACAGTTACATTAAACACACAAACACAAGTCCCTTAATTTGTTAAAATAATGAAGAGTTTGTCATTAGGGTCAGAGTTCAGCTAGGTTTGGTATATATATTTTGGGTTGTGGATGATGAGAGTCGAAGTTTTTCTGGATAAGATAAGATAAGATAATATAGTCCTTTATTAGTCCCACACTGGGGAAACTTGCAGTGTCACAGCAGTAAAAGGTGACAGTACAAGAAAGAAAAACTGCAAAATGTCACTAACAAATACTTAGAAAGATAAATAATTGATAATAATATAATATGTACAATTCGATATTTACAAAAATTTACAAAATAGCAGCATAGTAAATGTATGTAATGATGAAAAATCCCTCAAAATAATCCTGAAAGTCAGAACTGTAACGTCATAGTTATTGTTTGTTTTCAGATCGAATATGCTGGAGTGTGGAGCCAACAACAAAAAGTGTCCCTGCACTAAAACTTTGTGACTGCACTGTAGGCGTATGAACTATAGTCCTGTGTCCCTAGAATGATCATATGTGCTGAAGGAAATTAGAGCCAGGAGAGAAAAGTGAGCTCCAAGTAGCTTGACCCTCAGTAAACCAACGCAGAGTGTTTGTAACTCGACCCTTCAGACTGTAACTGAAGACACAAACCAGACGACACTGACGGCTAACCTCTTCTTTTCCATCCAGGCTTTCCCAGACAATGCAGCTCGGCGAGAAGTAGAGGCCTTGGCGGCTGTCTGTCCCAACGAGGGATGTACGTGGACAGGGACTATCAAAGAATTTGAGGTGCATACTAATGCAACTTTAACAAGCGCTCCCATCATGAGTAATGTCTGTGCCACTGATCATATTTTGCTACTTCATCTCCACATGTGCAAAATTACACTGATGAGCCCAGATGTGCTACATTACAGGTAAAAGGTTTGATAAACCATAAGCAAGTTTTCTTATAAATATTGATGTTATATTATATTAGAAATATTTGAAAGTCTATATAAATTGATGTGTTGAGTATCAGGTTAAAACACTTTACTAATTACTCAGTCCCTCCAACTATAAAAACGAGGTCACTACTGAATGTACATGTACCTGTGGCTAACATTTACCACACAACATTTAAATACGACAAACTTTGGAATTGCCTGGGATCAGATTTCTCCTCCTTCAGCAGAGGATGTTACCTGTTCTGCATTTCAACCATATCCCAGACCAGTCTGCCCCAGTCAGTCAAGCCTCCTCCATCTTTACTGGGATTACTACTGTAAAGTAATTATAGAATTTCAAATTGTTACTGAAAAGAAGTGATCACATTCTGCAAGAGGTTACTAAGTAATGTGTTACTGCCCAGCACTGCAGGTTGTTACATTAGGATAGCATTTTAGAAACGTCTCTGGAGAATCATTCTCTGTCTGTGTGCTCCTCTCTCCCCCCATCACTTCCCTCCCATTTCATACAAACCTGTGGAATGAAAATAATAGTAAACAGTCCATTTCCACACCTGTGTTCACCTAACAGGCCAACGATAACATTTTAGAGTATTTTACATATGTGAGGGAAAATAATGAACCAAAAGCCATGTTCCCCATCACACTGCCTTACACAAAGGTGGAGCTTAGGGGAGCATTACAATTTATCAATGTGTTTTTTTGACACTTGAAATTTAGCTCAGCTGCCCCCCACCTGTGGTAAATTCAGCTACTACAACATCAGAGTGAATTAAAAAGTGAAGACATAAGCCCATGTTCACCCCTCCATTCATTAGAAAAAAAACTTTATAAGGTATTAATCTTATATCTGAAAACTCACTCACTCAGTCATCACCTTGTCAGTGTTGTTCCTCATCGCATTGACTTTCATAAAGTTTTATGGAAAAAAAAGATGGCATCTTGCCAAGCTGAACTTGAATTATATTATGGCATTTGCATGACTTTATTGCATCAAGTGTCAGATACATCCTTATACTTCCTACATTCACCTGCTGGAAACCTACAACCAGTGACATCATCTAGTCAAAGGGACATTCAAGTTCAACAAACAATAACTGAGCTTTAGAAACAATGTTGAAAAGGTTTTTTTTGTTGGGCGTCTGCAGGCCGGCCATGAGGGCAACTGTGACTTCATGATCATCCTGTGTCCTTCCTGTAAAGAGCTGATGAGAGCCAACGAGCAGGAACGCCACAACGAGAGAGAGTGTCCAGAGAGGACGCTCAACTGCAAATACTGCAAAGAACCCTTCTTACTGAAGAACATCAAGGTCAGACTTCTCTGTGTTACTATAATCAAACACTGTCTTGTCTTTAGGGTGTGGTTCACGTTGTGTGATTTTCTAACTCCTTGTGACTTGAAGACTCTTTTCCAAAATGTAAACAAATACAGGGTAAAAATATGGAGCTCCAATTGTACCCCACTACTAACTCACTGAATCCATGGCAACATTACACTTCCTGGTTACATTTTGTAACATCTTTTTTTTAATATATATATATATAATTCAAGTTTTTATTTATTTACTTAAATATACATAAACAGACAGTATTATCTTCTTTGGGTATGGGATATTCAAAGGTCCATGGTAAATTACCGTTTTTAAAACAACCAAAATCAATTAACATTTCGCAATTAAAGTAGTGACCAAAAAAAATGGTCCCAAGACCTCTTAAAGTTTTCACCTTAATCACTGGCTTCAGCTGACATGTTCATATGATACTATCTCTAACACTGAGAGGAAGTACTTTTCAATAATATCAGAGAATCACTCAGGGAGCCGTGATGACCTCTATATACTGGACAAATCTGTTTGGTCCTCCAAAAGTCTTGGTGATACATGTATAATCAAGTCCACCCTACATCCCTATGTATCCCAATACTTTTTCCCCAAAATGGGTTAACAAGTTTATAAACCCAAATTACATGTAAAAATGTTCCTACCTCTGTCTGACATGAAGTACAGGAATTTTAAAGCAGAGGCTGGTTCAGATATTTGAAAAACTCTTAATAATGATGTATCAGCTGATAGAAAGCAGATATATTTTTTAACATAGCAAAAGGTAAACTTGAGCAACTATTGCTTTTTGGGGTAATTTAAAGCATTGCTTTATCCAGTTTATCTAATAAACAGTACATTTGTATTTCTATCTATAAGATGCAATTTTCCAGCCTCTCTTGATGTTGCACTTTTAAAGCATCATCTTTAATGATGCGGGAAACTGATACTGAGAGTAAACGCTGCTGCAGAAATGAGAAATCAGAATTTCTTTTGTTTTTCCACCAGTCTAATAACGCATCTGATATTATCAGTTGTAGCTGTTTGAAATGTGACAGTCAGACATTAACTATGGAAAAAAGGTGCTCTGTTAATGTTTGACACAATCTACCAGTATAATATCATAGGTGGAAATTGTGTTTCCAATGCACTGTAACTGTGTAACTGACTGTAACTGTACAGACATGCAAGTCTTGGATATACTGTATTTGCTATTATGTCATTTAGGCAGAATGAGTATATCACTGTACATGAATGACTCCTCAGCTGTCTTCCACTGACAGGTCATAGCACTGGCTAATTTCATGGTTAATTTATGAACAGATAAACTTTAAGCATGTGCTGTATAGCAGCTGCCAGCACTATACTGATGAGGGAGAATATTATAGGACAGTTCACAGGACAGGTACTCCACTGTTGTGCTGCCATTTTACCAACAGTGGAATCACAGTGCTCTCTAGGGGACAGACCATGCAATAGTAATATAAGTAAGAGTTACAAAATCCATTAAGGTTTTTTTGTGATTGTTTACACATTTATTGCACAGTTTGGCTCATTGTATCAAAACTCCACCTTTTTCAAAATGGCATTTCTGGAACAAAACCATACACACACGCACCATCTGAATTACTCCTTCAAAGCTGCAACAACACAAAACGCTGCTGTCTTTACAACTTTGTACATCTATTTAATTTTGTCATCCAGCCTTCACACGACACAGAAATAGAACATTTTCAGCAAACAACGAACAGGTTTTTACAGAACAGCAGAATGTACAGGTTGTTCAGCAGCATCAACATCCAGGACTCTGTAACAGAACATGTTTACACTGAACTGTAAATATGGTGAAAGTGACTCTGGTGTGAAAAAAACACAGGATTACTCTCACACAAGGATGGGGCTGGGGGCGGTTGGGACAGACACCACCCCCAGGAAGTGAACTAGCAGGTCACATACTGCTTTGTCTGAATATATGCATTGGCAACACTGCACAATCTACTGCCATTACTGTATTACTCTACAGCTCAGTGATACGGGCACATATTCATAGTGAAGGTCTTTGACTATAACAGAGTGTCAATACACTCAAAGGTACCGTCTAGTAGAAAGTTGCAGACCTGCTCTCCAGTCTAGATGTCTGTAATATGGATGCCACTGTGTAGTGACTGAGATTGAACTGGCGTCTTTGCTCAGCCTCCCTCAGTGTCAGCCCATGATTTCTAGCCTGGTCCAACAAAGTGGCCCTATTGTCATCTGAAATATGTGTCCGCCTGTTGCCAGGTCTTCTTTGTTCACTTTCTGCATAAGTGTTTTTAGGTGTGTATGTGTGTGGTGCCAAATCCAGGTGTGTTTTGCAGTTTGAAAAAGAAGTGTTTTCCCAATGATTGCTAGATTTAAGTTTTGAACAAAGACTCTAATGTAGGAAAGAGTGTGTAGTGTTTTTGCAAGTGTGTGTTGTAGAATTGAAAACAAAGTTAAAAGCAGAAAATGTGTTTGTACATTTGGCTCCTTTGTTTAAGGCATGATTTCAAAAGTTAAGGTTTTAATGCTTTGGTCTATGCATTCACTTTTAGTGTGTAATGTAGCTAAAAGTGTAATGTGAAGTTTTCCATTGTTGCATTGTCAATCTAATATCTTTTAGATATTAACGAAATCTCAGATTGTTTCTTACATCCCTGTAACACTGACACTCTCCTGTATCCATTTATATACAAAGGAACATATAGACAAAAAAGTGTATGGGTAAACTTTGCAAACTTTATACCTCAACACATATTTGGTAAAATGATTCTCATAAAAAAAAAAAAAAGACAGATGAAGAACTTTTTTTATATTTAGAATTGAATTAGTAGCAGAAGAAAAAGTGCTTGAAAAGTGAAGGAGGCTGAGTGTTTGCCAACTGCACTACAATGTGACGTTGATTTTATTGGGAACTAACTTTACTTCCTGTTTTCTTTTTAGGCTCATGATGAAATCTGTCCAAAGTACCCAATGATTTGTGAAGGTTGTGCAAAGAAAAAGATCCCCAGAGAAAAGGTATCACAGATATTCATTCCAAGTGAATGTTCATAATTCTGTTAGATTGATCTCATTAACCATTCAGCTAGGGATCAGATTCCTCAGCGTTTCTATAGATCATTAGCTTCTTTCTTTTTTTTTGTTTTGCAGTATGTGGACCATATTAAGTTCTGCAGTAAATTTAAAGCACCATGCAGATTTCATGTTGTTGGCTGCGATACGTCTGTAAGTAGAGATTTTTGTCATAATTTGCTATATATATATACATCTACATATATGTAACACTGGCTGATGTAATAACTACAGGATCATTTAATAAGTAGTAAAACTCAGCAAAAATACAGAGAGATACAGTAATTCAATTCTCAGACTGATGTTTTATCTAAAAAGGGTAAAGTGTACAAATAACATGATTTGCTCTGATATATTATGGGAAAATTCAATTACATCATTTTAATAAAGAAAGGATGTTTTTGTTTTTGAACCATTTATAGGAACATTATGGTCTGAGTATAATCCGTAATTCATTTTTAATTTAAAAATGACATTTTAAAACCAAAATGTAAAAAAACTGTTTTGGTGTCAGAATCAAAAAATGAAAAATCAATCAAAATGGTCTCTTTTTGGTTTTTGGCAATTCCTTTAATCATTATTTAGTTTGAAACCAAAAACCAAATTCATATGGTTTATCTGATTTTTAGTTCTAAGACAAAATTGAAATCACATGGTGTATTCAAAATCAAATCAAATTCAAAAAGACAGACCAATTTTGTTTTTCGGCAAGTTAATTTTTCCATTTCTCATTTGGCAGAGACAGTAGATAGGTGGACAGACCGGAAGAGGAAGTGAAGTGTAATAAAGTCAAACTAAAAGCCAACAGGACATGAACCGAAATCCACGGACCATTTAATTGGTTTTTCGTTTTTTGATTCTGACACCAGTTCTGGTTTTAAAACAAATAACAGACTTACCTTTTTTTCATTTTTAAATTAGAAATGAATGACGGATTATCCGATCATACACAGACTATTACCAAAGTTTTACATTATTGAACAGTTCTACAGAATTGATTGCTACACCTGTGAATGGATCTTGTGTTACTGCGTGTGAAGCCCATGTTTGTATATATGCACAATGCCTATGTCAAGTTTTCACCTGTTTTGAACTCCTTCATGTGTTACTTAACACCTGAGATGGGTGTGGTTTGGCTTTTTGACACTGATGAACAGAAAGAGTGAAAACAAATTAGATCAGTTCGTGGAAACTTCAGTACAAATATGAAACAAACTGTATTTTGTAGAAGCACCTTTGGTGGCAGTAACAGTTTTAAAAGAGTACTCTTCCAGTTTAACATTGGCCTCCCTTTGACATTGTTAGACTCTCTGTGGACAGTTTTTTTTTTTTTTTTTTTTATTCCATACATTTTTCTTCCTAGTCCAAAATTGGTGCATACATTACCAACAATGCATCTTGATAGCCAGCAGTTTTGCTCAGAGATCTGGGTGTGTTATTCTATAGTACACAACCAATTCTGTAGAACTGTTCAATAATGTAAACTTTGGTAATAGTCTGTGTATGATCGGATAATCCGTCATTCATTTCTAATTTAAAAAATGAAAAAAAGCTAAGTCTGTTTATTGTTTTTAAAACCAGAGCTGGTGTCAGAATCAAAAAACGAAAAACCAATTAAATGGTCGTGGATTTCGGTTCATGTCCTGTTGGCTTTTAGTTTGACTTTTTTACACTTCACTTCCTCTTCCGTCTGTCCACCTATCTACTGTCTCTGCCAAATGAGAAATGGAAAAATTAACTTCAAAAACAAAATTGGTCTGTCTTTTTGAATTTGATTTGATTTTGAATACACCATGTGATTTCAATTTTGTCTTAGAACTAAAAATCAGATAAACCATATGAATTTGGTTTTTGGTTTCAAACTAAATAATGATAAAAGGAATTGCCAAAAACCAAAAAGAGACCATTTTGATTGATTTTTCA